TGAGAATTCAAGTATGTCACAATCCAGATATGTTACAATCAAGATTGACAATGAAAATCCAAGTTTCTCAAAGTTCAATTATGTTACAATCAAGATTGACAGTGAGAATTCATGTTTGACACCGGCAGAATATATCACAATCAAGAATGACAATAGACCATACAAGTTTGACAATACGCACACAAGTTTGACAATACGCATCCAAGTTTGACACTTCAACTCGACATGTTGGCATACGGTTCAAACTGATAATTGAACTTTGACAAACTTGGATTTTCATTGTCAATCTTGGTTGTTACAAAATAGAAAAGTGACAAATTTGGATTCTCATTGTCAATCTTGATTGCAACAAATTTAGATTGTGACACACTTGGATTCTCATTGTCACTCTTGATGGTAACATTGTCATTCTTGTCTGCTCACTTGTCAAACTTGCACGGGAAATGGTGTAGTGTGCGTTTTTGATGAGGGAAGTCTCATCTATCGCAGATCACCTGAAGGAGACGAACATAGTGCCGTCCACCACCAGCTTTCTGCCAGCTTACTTCTTGGATGACATGCTTTTGGGTTGTCGGCGTCGACCGCACGTGCCAGGGAATACAAAAGCGAGTCGCTCTAAGCGACAGAAATGTCAGGATGTTGCTCGCTGCATATTCGTTGACCAAACATACGCCTGCGACGTATCCACCAAACTGCGCTGTCCAAGCCCCCATAATGTCGAGAACGAGACCATTGTCGCCCGAGCGGGATCCCTCGGGTTCTTCGTATACCTCGACAACCAGCCCCGTGGTAGTAGTTCTCAACTTTTCCTTGCATTTGAGTTGGAGTTAGAGACGTTGAGAAGCTTGAAGTCCACATACGCACTGCTACTAGCAGTCTGCTAGACTTCGAGAGTAGGTTCATGACCTTCTCGTCCGGTACTATATTAGGTGGAACCATACCGAGTTTCTCGGTTAGGTTCTTGACAAGCTTGTCGATGTTGACTTGAGGGCCGGACGATGACGAAGTCGCGGCATCTAGTTCTCTCTGGCCACGTTCCAAAAGCCTTCTTGCTTCAGCTGAAGCGGCCCTGGCACAGGCGATGATCATCACAAGCTGAACCTGGGTCACGCTCGTGCCGTTGTTGTCAGTGAGTGCCCGCTGTGAGGCAGTTGCTGTAGGACTTTGAGTGACATCGGTCCCGGGATCCGTGGAAGATGCTGCAGTACCAGGGTTCGATGGCGACGGGGGGTCGCTAGCGCCGACTTTCTGGGTCTCCTGGTGATGGGCCGAAAGCAGTTTCTCCCAACCGTTCTCGCTCATGGAAGCCAAAACTCCGAACGGGCCATACCATTCTCCTGTATGGCTGAGCATATGAAGTCTGTCTCGAAGGTCGGTGTTTCAAACACCGACCATTGGTCGGCGACCAACACCGTTTCCAAACCTTTCAAGACCTTCTGAGTCGCCGATGGGATACTATCGTCTTCGAGTGACATTTCAAGTACACAAATAAATGAACGGTCCTGTGCGACAGGGATATGTATGCTGCGAAACTAGAACCGTATCTATTCGAGGTTCACCTCCCGACAAGAAGGACTTGAGTTGTACAACTAACACATGTTGTACTGAGGATCGTGATATACGATTCCATCGCGAATTTCCTGGCCGCAGCCTGCAGTCGGGTTGGACCACGGGCTGGTAGCCAATTCGGCAGGTATTACTCACGAGGTCAGTGCACTTGCATATTATGGGCCCGCCGGTCCCCCCGAGTACATGTATTTTGTCCGTTGTAGGTTATAATGCAACAGGTGACACTCTCCCGCACGTGTGACTGAATGCTCCCCTCATTGGCAATAAGCTGTAACGCTGGCCTACGATAACTCACTGTTGCCAGTTACTGCCAGTCAACACGAAGCCGAATTAACAAATATCCTCTCATTTCGCATATTTTCAGTGTTTGTTCGTCCTTTGTTCAAATGATTTCTCCTCGACCAGTTGAGCTCTCGACATACCACATACCCTTTGGAAGTGTGTAGATCGTATACTCTGCGATAAATATGAATCTAACCTCAAGAGAAAGATGACTCTGATTCTCGTTCCCATAGGATTATATATCATCTTCATCTCCATAGATTTATATATTAATCTATAAGTGCTTGATTCACGTTACTCTTCAAGCACCAAGGATCAACTCCGTGTACTCAACTCGTCATAGATGAACAAACATTGCACAAAGCTCAATGGTCAATTTTGCATTTATCCTTTTCTAACACCCAGGATGAAGCCAGCCATAAAGCTTCCCGCAGCAATCCCTGTGTTTTCCGTCAGATAGTTGACCGCCCGTACCACTGCCTGAGACAAACAGTGCCCACAAATTTTTCGAACAGTGAATAGAACAAGGAGTTTGTTAACAGAACACGACGCTCCCGACGCATAATGTCCTTATTCTTCCGATGAATTACTTGCTACGATCCCCAGGTTGCCTGTCTTGAAGAGAGTCTCTTCATAGAATACCAAATCATAACTTTTCTATTGTTCTAGAGGAAGTCAGAACGCAAAAACACGAATGTGGCAAATTAATTGTCACAAGACGAAGATAACGATAAATGGAAGTGATGGACTCCTCACCTCCCGTGCGTCCATCTCAGTAACTTCGCCGTCACCATCCATGTCGAGACCTCTCATCACGTCACGCTGAACCTGATACAGTTACCAATAGGAGTTGAACTCTTAGTGCAATCCTGTAATCTTAAAGTTCACGAGCCGGACTCAGGTGTGCCCCACCTACAGCATCCCAATTAACATTCACATACCCTGCCTGAGCAGCTGCCTGGAATGTTACAAAAACCACACCAAAGGTCACCGCTGCCGCCTTGCCGACCTGAAAATATCA